GACTGTGGACCATGCTGTGTGGACTGTGGACCATGCTGTGTAGACTGTGGACCATGCTGTGTGGAGTGGAGACCACGCTGTGTGGACTGTAGACCATGCTGGGTAGACTGTGGACCATGCTGTGTGGACTGTAGACCATGCTGTGTAGACTGTGGACCATGCTGTGTGGAGTGGAGGCCATGCTGGTGCAGGCTGGAGGGTGTGGTGTGAAGGCAGCTGGGGTGAAGTAAGTCAGAGCATTTCCCAACCCATCTTGAAGCCAGGAGACCGTTTGGAGACGCTCAACTCTTGAGCTGACCTAAAGATCCACTGGCAGCGTGGGCCACCTAATTAGGAGGACCCATGAAACTGGGCCACTGCCCAGAATGACAGGACGGCCAGTGGCCCCCAAGCCCACACAGTACTCACCGCAGCCCTGACAGTTGCAAACTCCACGATGGCGTTGCCTGCCTTCTTTCTGGACAGCACCAGGTTGAGCACCTCCCCGTACTATGGGGACAAGAGAGCCACAGTGAGTATGACTGGAAGGACAGAGCATGGCCCATTATGCTACAGTCCAACTTTGGAATAAGCTCTTTCTAGGGACCCAAAGGAGAAGACTGGAGAGTAAATTAGGTTGTTTCCATTTTCTGAGGTACAGGGGACAGCAAAGGTGAGGTGGGCAGAGCCCTGGGACTAGGCTAGTACACAGCACAGCTGTCTCCACTTCCGGAAGCGGGGAAGCAGAGGGGCTTCCATGTCAGACAGCCACCTCCTCTCCCCCAGCACATCCAGCTAAACGCTGTGCTTCAAGGCAAGGGCTGGGCTTAGGCAGGGAGGGAAAGGAGGCCAGAGGGGCACAAAACTCAGATGATGGGAGAACTAGCCTCATGGAGTCTCGAGACTGATCCACAGTTATGAGACAGACAAGAAAGGATGAAGCTCAGGGCATTTGGGCTCTCTGGGCTGAGACAGGAAGTGGCAGCTGTCAGTGGAGCATACCTTTTGCAAGAGCCTCAGGAGGACATCTCTGGAGTAGCCACCTTGGGACTCATCCTCCTTCTTGCACTGCCACTTCAGCTAAGAAGATAGCATCGATCACACCAGGGCGCACAGTGAGCCTGCTACTGAGCGGACCCCCTGCCGCTCTCCAAGCTTGGGCAATTTCGAACACCCAAACCATGCTTCCTGTGGGGCACGTACACTGGGTGGCCAGGGAAAACAGACATGAAGCTAGTCTAACGTCAGAGACAACCCAAACTCCAAACTTGAGACCAAAAATCTCATCCTGAGACCGGAAGGAGTAGGACTGCTCCCTCCCTGCTTCCGTGCCTGCACGACCCATGTGCCGGTAGCCTGGTAACCCCAACCCCGCAATTCTCAAAGTAGTCACAGATAGTCACATAACCTGGCACCTGGATGCAAACAGAGCACCATCAGCACCCCAACCCCAACCAACAATATGCACCCCCCCTGGAAATCCCTTTCCACTCCCCAAGGTTATAAACAGACATAGCTATCTCACTAAATACCGTCTAAGAGCTGCTGTTTCATTGGGCTAGGTCTCAGCTAGGAGAGCTGTGACACTAAAGTCCTCGGAGAAGGCCTCCCCCCGCCACCGGCTAGACCTGGGTGTTGGAGACCCCTCCCATTCCTGACTCTGCTTCATCCTTCTCAGCTTGGCATCAGCCAGCACCTGAACACCCAGGGGGATGGAGCAGAACTCGAAACCACAGAAACTGAGGGGGAAGCAGCCTGATCAGTCTTAATGACACTTTGTGTGCTGTAAGAACACGTCTCAAAGGGCTTTTGAGGATGCCTGGCTCACACCTGCCCATGTTACAGCCACTTGCTGTGGCAAGCACTGAGAGGCAGTCCTAGTGTCCAGGCTCAGGATGACAGAAGGATGTAATAGTTCCCCACGGCAAAGCGCCTGTTCTTGCTGAGGGCTGCTATGCTCTGATCTCAGATCCTACAGACTCACCTTTAGTTTCGGGGTTCCTTTGCCTTCAATATTTTCTGTTCTTCCTAAAAATATCAGGGAAAAAAAAGGTAAAATTTCAGAGTCCAAGGTCTTCCAAAGGTGAGATGGCATCAGGCCAGAGGACTGATGTATAAAGGCTACTCATGTTTGCCCTGTCCTTATGAAGGGCCTTGTCAGAAAGCTAGATGCAATCCTATCCCATCCCCGGATAGCCTGCTTAGCCACTTCCTGCAGGTCACCTGTTAGCTTTCACAAATGAAAAGCTGGGAACCATCCTAGGGGCCAGGGACAGACACAGACCACGCGGTTCCACTGAGGCCAGGTACCCCAAGGCCTTTCCCCTCTAGATCTGCTCTGGGACTGAGACCTGTGGAAAGCCCAAAGGCCCCTCCTACAAACTGGTGTGTCACAGCAGGATGCCATGGAACACCATGGAGGTATTCTCGGGGTGCTGGTAGGAGGGACCCCCACAGCCGCTCCAGGAAGCAGCATGCATGGCAACTCAGTACGATGAGGCACTCTCAGCCTGGAGGAAAAAGTGTACCTCACCTCTCAGCCTCTGCTCTCGGTCCTGGCGGATCTGCTCCTGGACCAGCCTTTGCTGCTCCTCCAACTGACGGGAACCCTCTTCTCGAAGGCGTGCAATCTGCAGAGCGGGAGGCGGAGGGGTGACAACTCTGTGCAGATCCAGTTCCAGGTTGGCTCACCTTGTAAAGGTCCCTGGGAGGTTCCACCTGCAAGCTAGCGCTCAACCTGTGGGTGGGACAGATCACCCAGCTCCCACAGAAGACAGAAAGAGCAAGCTCTCCCCACACAGCAGCTACTCAGGACGCTCCACCTCCAGCAGCGAGGACCCTCAGGCCGTGGTCTGGGTGCTCACCTCCTGCTCTAGTGTTGTGGTGCTCCGGCTCTCCTCTTCTTCCTCACTCCCCTGGGCCTGGGCCTGCCGCTCCCGGGCCTCCAGGTCTAGGCACAAGGGTTAAGTGGTCCAATTTCTAGCCTGCATGTCTATTTTCGCCTCAGCCCACCCCAGCTCTGGCTGTTTCCCCCACACCTTGAACAGGATGGCACCATACAGCAACCCCACCCACCTCTTGCCATGC